TAACATCACTGGGAGATATAAGAACAGAATTGAGACAACCGCTGCCGTGCGGGGTGTGCTTTACATAAAACAGAAGAAGTTCAACGATAAACTCACGTACACATGCCGCGTGATACAGAAAGGAAACAGGCCTCCGTGTGATTACACGATCACAGTCAGATCTTCAGCAAATTGTGAGTAAATCAACGAATCATGTGAACCATCCATTTTTAAAATCTTAAAAAACATAGTTAGACATTAGCCATGCATGCATAATCTGAAAGTAGACAATTTAGCTCGGTTTTTAAGCACTTTTTTTTTCATATTGCTCTCACGAGGCCACTGCCGCGGGTAAAAGCCCCATTTCGTGTAAGAGAAGCGTTAAGAAAATAAGCCTTAGCTTAGGGCGCAGCTGAGATGTTCAGTGGGTGGAGGGTGGTGTGGGGGTCACAGTTACGAATTCCTCCGTCGCTAGGCACTTAACGGGACATGGCTTGTATCTGAATGGGCGGGCTTGTGTTCTGGCAAAGGGAGTACTGTAACATAGTTATGACATGTAGGAAATTGGGCGTTTTCTTGAACCGTAATAATAAGACTCAAAAGATAATAAAGGGATTTTCTTGTGATATTCGTAAGTTATTGTGTACTCTTGGCTTAACCGAAAAAATAACTCACAAAGGGTATGGGGAAATCGTGAGCTCGCTAGGACACCCCTGCCATACCGCGTCTTTGATAAGTTTCCTTTGGGGTGAATCATTTATCCAAGTTAGTTTGGAGGATTGCCCTAACTGCAAAGTTGATTTGCTTTTCTTTCAAAATTTCTCCGCCAAATGTAGACGGGAAGTTACCTTCAGGTTCACGTTAAGAATTTATAGTATTATAAGCCAATCTCTCTTTGGTTTTTCCCTCTCAAGGCTTGTCCACGACTGTTGGGAAAAGAATCGACCTGAGCCGTGCGATTCATGAAAAATGTTCAGAGAAAGACGTGGAAGACATAACATGGTACAGGATCCTTCAGGGTGGTGGAAAGGAAAAAATTGCGCACTGCAGTCCATCCAGGGTTTCGTGCTTGCTCATCAATTGCACAAGATCGTGCCCGGAGTATCTAAGAAGGCTGAAGACGAATGGATTATCAGTCATCTTGACAAATGTTACGCCTAATGACCGTGGTTTGAAATTCCAGTGCGAGGTACATCCAGGAATCCACGGGACACGTCAAGCTTATACCATTAAGATCAAAGAGGTCGCTGTACCCCGAGAAGGTTAGTGCGTGAGACTTACGCGATTTCGAGGGTGAGTTGTAGGGGTGGGAGGGTGGGAGAGGCGCCATGTAAGGTTGGTATGTATGCTCGCGCATGCTCAATGCCATTAGGGGCCTTGCTCACAATAAATGTTGTCGGCCTATAGGTGGTGACATGTTCCAACTATCTCCTTCTTTTCCTTTGCGAGTGTTGTATTAATGAAAGCTTGGAGATGATTAAATTGTTCCATGAACACTAATAACAGCAAGAAACTAAAATATAAAATAGCAAGAGAATATACGACCATTGTGATAGATCACCACACATTGTAAATGAGGAGCTTGATATTTTCTGTTTAAACACTTTTTTGCTACAGGTACACCAACCAGAACCCCAGAAGTAATCACAGGAGGGTCTTTACAAGAAGATGAAAGCAACAGGACAAAACACCGACCCACCATCCCGCCTAACGTCACGCCAGTAACCTTAAAATTGACAAAAACACTTTTATTTCTGTGCTTAATGTCGGAAATTTTTACTTTCCCTGGATAGTATATGTATGGAAGGTGAATATACTGCAACATTTTCGACTTGAAACTGTTGGATAGATCTGATCAAAGGTTCCGTCTTATCAAGGCACCAGGTGTGGTTAAGGAATACTCGCTACAGATTGAAGGGTCCACAAACGAGCCTTTCAACCTGGGAAGTGGAGTTCTTTTGATCACCAAGATGTTATTATATGATGGAACTGCTGTCCAACAAGTATTTCATTTTGTTTCGTGTCACAATTCTACGAATACAAATCTTATGCAGCTTCTTCGCTCACGAACAATTATTCACGAACAATTACTTGCCTGTCGCCAGCCATATAAAGAAGAATTTTGGATATTCAGTCCGAAATAATTCTTGCCAGAAGAGCGCTATATTCTTCTTTTTGAGCATTAAGACGAAATCGACTGAGGTCTCGAGTAATGAAGGGACAAAAAGAGGCCCCGTAGGCAGTCTTTATCAGTTTCTTTTGACTAGAACATACCGTCAACTTTTGCGTGGCCTGCAGGTTTTTAATAATAAAAATATAAACATTTCTTTATAAAATGGAAGTGTTTTCCGCCTTTCAAGGCAAGTATTTGTATCAGACTGACA